CACGGTTGCCATGGTCACCTCCCTCAACAAAGTGTGTGGTGATTCTTGCGGAAGCCACCATTCGGAGAACTGAGCTTCAGAGGCCACAGGAAGTTGCTAGCCTCCTTAAAATGCTCTCCAACACTGTAGATCTCGTGGATGAGATCTTCGATGCAGATGATGCAAACTTCCCCATTGTTCTCGATGATGGAGTTATCTGTGAATGGCAATGCGTTGTTTGTTGACCTTGCCATGGCCACGCTTGTAGATCAACTCACGAACACTCTTCAGATTCGGGTATCTACAAAAAAAACAAACAATCACATTTGAGCCTAGTTCTATAACCTAAGATCCCACAAGTTTCCCGTAGCTCAGTGGTAGAGCGTCCGACTGGTGTGTGAAGGTCTGTGTAATAATTATCAACACATTTCAATAGTACAGGTAATATAAGAAATGTACATGTACGGGGGTACCAGTAATGAAAAATCTGTTTGTTGACGATAAAAAAGAAAAGAATGTTCATTGTATGGTTTATCCCCCCAGTCAATGGCCACAGAGTGGACTCTGGGAAGCACAAGGAATATACAAAGAACCACACCAAACCAGTACTCACAAGTGAGATACCGGGGGCAGTTTTCATCTCCAACGACATGGCAAGGAACAGACATCACGGGTGATGTGTCTCAAGGACACTCAGCTCCTAACAGCCATTAAGGACAGAGCAGTGAGGGCCAACCCCCTGGGTGTCACGTTGGATTATTAAAGCTGTGTTTACTGACACTTGGCATAAGACGTGATAAATGTGACATCTTATAATAATAATAAAAACAACAATAATATTTTATATGATTCCAGATAAAATTACAGGTATTAGAAATTAAACTAGTTTCTAGATACTAACCCATATGCAACGTAAGGTTGCACAATTCGCAGCATGTTAATCGTGGCCTTATTCAGCTTAATGAACACGCCATTGTGGATCTGCAGCAAGCGAAACAATTGAAGAATCTTTCGCACCTTTGGGCTCACACCGTTGATACTATAGAAACAACAAACACAGCTTACATTGTAGATATATTGCCTGTTTGGATCTTAACATTTACACGTACTTGCAGTCGTTGCCCATAAAAATAAAACAAAAAAATAGTACCAGATATAATTGTTCATTGTATGGTTTATCCCCCAGTCATGGCCACAGAGTGACTATGGGAAGCACAAGGAATATACAAAGCACCACACCAAACCAGTACTCACAAAGTGAGATACTGAGGGTAGCTTTTCATCTCCAACGACATGGCAAGGAACAGACATCATGGGTGATGTGTCTCAAGGACACTCAGCTCCTAACAGCCATTAAGACAGAGCAGTGAGGGCCAGCCCACTGGGTGTCACGTTGGATCAATTGACTTTAATTAATTATAGACATAATAGTATTGTACCTGATGTTTGTGTTTATAATGCATTTTGAATCAACAAGAAATCAAACACCTCTACAGTATAGTAAGAACACTTGTCATATCACTGATTTTACAAACCACATACCCTCTGATACGAATAACAAAAGCAAGCTTGGCTTCAGCCGGAACATAAAAGTTAGCATGCTTCCGTGCCATGCGCTTCATTCTGATCTCATCTTTCTCTTGCTGGCGGTATTCCTTCACATATTTTTCAGCCCTCTTGAAGATGTCCTTGCGCTTCTCTCTTCGCACCTTAATTATGGATAAGCAGAGAGATTTACAATAAGGCATAAAGCGAACATCGGACTGGTCTTTTGCTCCTAAAATCAAGCCTATGACCTTCTGCACACCTGTTGGATGCTCTACCACTGAGCTACAGGGAAAAACAACAAATTTATACCGCTTAATCTATTGATTGTTTGGATCTTTATATGATTTGCAGTCGTTAACCATCAAAATAAAACAAAAGATACTGCCAATAGCATTGTTCATTGTATGGTTTATCCCCCCAGTCACGGCCACAGAGTGACTCTGGGAAGCACAAGGAATATACAAAGCACCACACCAAGCCAGTACTCACAAGTGAGATATTGGGGGCAGTTTTATCTCCAACGACATGGCAAGGAACAGACATCATGGGTGATGTGTCTCAAGGACACTCAGCTCCTAACAGCCATTAAGACAGAGCCAGTGAGGGCCAACCCACTGGGTGCCACGGTTGGATCAATTGACTTTAATATTATAAACCAACTATTATACCTGGGTCAAGTAAAAATTAATAATAAAATAAACAATTTCATTCGAGTGTCAACAACTTGGTCTAACATTTCTGCTAATCCGAGACATGATTTACAATAGGGCATACATCAGGTACATGTAAAGCAAACATCAGACTGGTCTTTTAGCTACAAAAGTGTGTGATCATTCAAATGAAAGCTATTGAGCAGTACTTTCACGTGGTACTGTTTATTATGCTGTACAATGTGGTTCTAACTTTCACGTTTGTGGATGAAACCCTGGTGTGTGATCATTCAAATGGAAGCTATTAAGTAGTATTTTCTAATGATGATACTTCCTTTTAATATTTTCCAAATGACAGCACACTTGTATTAAATTTTGGTTAACCACTTTGGACGGCAAAAGAATGGTCGAAATATGTGGTACTGTTTGAAGATTCCATGCTTCAGAATACAATGTTTAATATGCTAAAAAAAATCCAACTTGACTGACCTTTTTTTGCACGAGCTGTGCTTTAGCCCTGGCGACTTCAGCTGTTCTAAACTCTTCCTCTTTTGAGGAGAGTTTCGGGGACACGTGGGACCTTCTCTCTGCAGAACAAAACACAACAGACTAAGATGGTATTTTACCACGACAAACAATCAAATCACAACGGAAACCTGCATTTAGCTTGAACGTCGGGTAAAGAGTGACAAACCAACAAAACTTTGACGAGAAATGATCAGCCCGGCTCTTACAAAATGTTAAAACAACATTTTCTCGTGTCGAACGATCAAGGTTCTTCACGTTTCTCTACTCAAGATGACGAAATCTAAACTTGTTTTTATACCCCTTTCATAAGTTCGCTCGAGGAAATAATGGAATAAAAACGAACAGGAATAATGCACAATATTTTTTTACTACAGTTAGAATTTCAGAAGTTTTAAATTTGGCTAGATGGAACGGATAGATAGTGCTACATAAAACGTTCTAACCTGTCGGCCATTGCTTCCCCAGGAAAGAGGAAGAGCTTGCTGGGAAATATCTGCTTGGTAACCGAGTCTTTTCCGCCATCTTGAAAAAGTAACGCCGAGAAGGCCCTGGGAACGACGTTGTTCTTGCTCCGTGTAAATGACCCGAAGTGTCCCATCACAGAGTAGCGAATCAAAAGAGCGTGAACACTTTGATTTAACTTTGACATGATCAAACCGCAAGAAGAATAGTCAGGAAACACAAATTTGCACTTTATTTTTGCAGAAAAGCTTTGCGAAAATACCGTTCGAAGCTCCCGAAAGCGGACACCCTCGGGAAGCAGAAATAGTGTCCGCAACTGGAGCTGGCCGCTTTATACGGGAATGTGCAAATACAGAGTTTGTATGAGCTAGAGTTCAAAACGGTCCGCTTACGAGAGTGTCCGCTCAGAGAGCTTCGCCTATAAGAGTTAATAAAGCTTGTTGTTGTTGTTGTTAACGCTGACAATAAAATAATTGGCTGGAAAAAATAGATCAATTTTGGCAAAGGAAAATCCAAGCTTTTCAAAGTGTTCAGCTTTTCTTATTCGCAGAGTAGTTTCGCAGTTTCTGTAACAAAGTCATCACTATTTTGAGTAATTTGACGAGCGTCTTGTAGGCATTACTCCCGAGGGGGGGGGGCTCCCATATAAAAGTGACCGGGGTGATCGTCGGAATTTTGGAAATAATCCTAAAAGGTACCAGAGTCTCGTTTGTGGGCGTGGCTCGAATCAACGGAACGGGCAACAAGGACCCCTGGGATAAAGCATTCCCAGAGGTCCTTGTTGCCCGTTCCTGCCGCTGGATAAGGGTAACGAGGAGTCTGGGAACTAGATTGATGGCGTCGGCAATCTCGCTCATGCGCCGAGACAACATAGGTGCGCAATGCGTGTGTACAATAATGTCATCGTTCCCATGTCGCAATTCCCATGCCATCCAACGCGAGTGAGTCATTTATAATGTTTTTACCGCATGAATAAGCTTTTATCAATTATATAGTTAATACGCGGCAAGCCGGAACGTCAACAAAAGCCTAATCAGTAAACGCGCCGATTTGCTAATTAACATTTGTGATTTTGTCGCTAGTTAATGGCTGTTCTATTCATGGACTTTCTATGCCCTTTATGTCCTTTTTGTTTGAATTAAAAGCAGCAGCTAATTATTTTATTTAGTTGCTCATTGAAAGCCAGCTAGAACGACTTGAAGTTTAGACGGATTTAACCTGCCCACACGAGAGTCTTTTTAGATTTGAGAATTAATGATACGGAGGCAGGTAAGAAATCACTATTTATCGTGTTACGTTACTCCTAATGTTATGAAAATGAAATTAATTCTTGTCTCCTATTATACTAACCCATGCAAAGGTCGAGCATTAATGGTAATGTTTAATTGTAATCTGCATTCGATGTCGTTAACTTATCGTATATAAGTTTCGTTAACCAGCTAAAAAGAGTTTGAGGAAAGCAGCCCCATTTTACTAAAATCTCGAGAAATCTGAGTTCATAACAAGTTTAATACGAGCTTACTAGCTAGGAAAAATAATTCAAACAAACTTAGACGAAAACAAAGACCTACCGTTGCTATCCTTGCAATGCATCGGGGTATCATATTGATGGTCCAAATATGCTTAAACAAGACATTTCGCTTTTTTAACTAGTCACGGTCAGTGGTGGGAATGCTTCTTGAATAATGTTGTACCTTATAAAAGTCATACTGATCGTGATAAGTTATGAATATGAATTAAATCATTTATGAACTGAAGATAGATTGGAAAGTGAAGAAATGATCTCGCAGTTGCGTTTGCAATTTAATTTGCAAATAAGCCTAAAAAAATTCATGGTTTCAATGGGATTTTAACCCATGACTTCCGCGTTACTGGTGCGATGCTCTACTGACCAACTGAGCTATGAAGCCACAACTGAGCTATGAATTTAACAACAGTTTTTAGCAGCACAATACTCGGGCTTGAACACAAGTGGATTTTTTGCACTGTTATTCCTAAGCCAATATAGAGAATGCAAATAGTGCCAATTTTGTTTAAAATGTGTTTAAAATAAGATATTGCATACGGCTTTCGACGGCATATGTATTCTGCCTTTGCATGGTGTTAACAATAACAAGCAGTTTAGTAGTCGTGCCGATTTTAAGATGGTTGTCCATGCAGTAGTCATGCAAGAGTTTTGTCAACCGTTTGCCTAAGTGACCTAAGTGGTCACAATTGATTGTTTTACTCAAAATTGGCTTTATTCTCCGTGAGACTGATTGAAGTTATGGTTTATAGGTTTTTCCATGCATATCTTACGTACCTCCCTTAATTGTTATGTTGCTTGGCCTGTAGAAGATCAGACTAGCTCTACTACCTTATTCTCACTAATTTTCGCGCGCACTTATAATTTCGCGAAATCGACAGAGCCGTATTTCGCGTGGCTTTATTTTCGTGATTTCAGAGTAAAAATGGCTCAAAAGGCTTTAAAATTGTACGAAAAAAATCGTCTTTATTTTCGCGTTTTTTGCTACATCGCAAAAATTGCGAAAATTAATACTCGCGAAAATAAGTGAGAACAAGAGAGGATGGTGAGAATAAGGTAGTCAGATCAGGCAAAAACACGTACTGCCATAGTTTTTCCTGCGTCGTGTGGTTCTTTGCATTTAAACGCTTATACTTTGCATGGCTTTTGGATCTTATTAATCCTGGCACGGCTCGAGAACCCAAACATGTCTATAATCTTATGCATATACTGAGCTAATGAGCATCAAAGATTTTGTAATTGCATGGAAGAAGTTAGTAGGTGATGCCGGCTGTAAGAGAAGTAAAAGTCTAAACACAGATCGAGTCCGTCGTCCTCCCGAAAACTAGACTGATTAGGTTCCACTGACAATGGTCCCGTTGAATATCCTGGTTAAAAGACTTTTGAAGACTAAGGCGTATTTTAGCTTTAATAGTATAAGCCAAAACAGTCAAAACGCTAATTGAAACTTGCCACCTATTTTAAAAACATAATCCATAATCTCCGAGTCTAAACAATTAAAAAAGAAAAAGAATCAGCAATTCAGATATCATTTGGTATTCCTTTGCCGAAGGATTTTATTACGTTTCAAGAAAATTGAAAGTTTATAATTACTCGTAGCTAATAATTAATTCACTAAGAATAATGACGGTCTTGGAAGAATAAATGATTTTACAATAAAACTCAGTTCAGGTAGCCTGCGTGCAGACGTTTGCTATTATGGGATGAAATAGGAGACGTCTGCACGCAGGCTAAGTTCAGGCTGAGAAGGCGAAATATTGTTACCATGGTTACCATAGCACGCTTTTTTTCTACCAACGCACGTAATACGGTCTATTTCTAACTAGATCCTTGATATTCTTGTCTTGCCAGACTATTGAAATTTAGTTTCCCAATTTTTCTTGAAAATTGAGACAAGAGATCAGTTTAGGTCGTTATAGTAAATCATTCATAAGTTCCAAAAGATCCCTTCAGATATTTTTCTGAAATACTACAATTATATTTACCAGGTAGATAGCTCAGAATATATAATTAGGTGACTTTATTACAGCCTCCACTGTTGTATGTAAATTATTGGTATGTTTTTGGCACAGGTAAAGTCGCACGCAGGCCAAAAACTGGCCCACACTGTCGGAGCTTATCCCGGTTTCTGTAGCATGAAGCCGACTAGGAGTATTGCTACTCCCCTGGATGGGACGCTAATCCATGTTTTAGGCATTAACTTCACGATATAAAATAAATTATAATGTGGATTTTTTTTTCTTACACAAAATCGCAAAAATCTAAAGTCGCCAATATTCCACTCAAAAAACGTTTCATTTACATGAGAAGAGAAATTAAAAACTGCGAAGTACGACACAATGCTATCTCATAAAACACACCACAACTAAACCACAATGTATTGCTAATTTCGTCAACGTGCTAGACACATTTTAGAGAGACATATTATACATTTACAAACTTCATAACCACAATATCGGCTGACAGGCGCTTATGTTTTACCAATATTAAAACCTCCAAAAGGTTTATCGCACGTTTACAACAAAGGGTCCTGAAAGAGCATTAATCAACGGCGACAAAACATTCAATTAACACACACATGGCAAACCCGATTTTACAGGTTTTCGATTCATACGTTTCTGAATTATTGCATTCGTTATTGGCTGTGTGTTATTGATTTTCTCGACTAGTACGTTGAAGTTTGTTCAATAAGCAGATACTTAGCGTAAACAGATATATTGTATGCTTCAGTCCTAGGCAGACGATTTGTCGTACATACTCTGAACGCAGAACGTCGACTTCTCTGGCCATGACGGGATTATATTGAAGGTAAGAATCAAGCTATTTAATATTTAGTCTTTGTGTTTACATTGCTGTTACTGTGGATGTTTGAACTTAACATTATTTCAAAACAATACCAAAAACAAATAAATTAAACTTAAGTCTTTCTGCGATGGAATAACTGAACACTTTATGTCAGTTTCCCTCTAAGGTTCAAAACAAACAAATCAACAAAGAAAAACAAGCAAGCCTAAAACACACACAGATTTCGTTGGCATTTCATTTCTGACAAACATTAAATATATACATTGTAAATATATATGTACTTTCTGGGCCAAATAGTTATTAAATAGCCTACAGCTTCTGTTCAACCTACAACAATTAGTTTTTAAGTAGCCCGTATCATGTATGTTTTAAGATTTGTTCTGCCGCCAAATCCTTTATAATAATATAATATACAAGCTAAGATCAGTTTTTACAAGACATTATCTGGGAATAAACACTTCCATTCGATTCAAGCAATACAATTCCTCTAGTTTGTAATGTTTATTTTCAAGCCGAGGCCGTATGCACGTGAAAAAAAGGATTAAGATAGTGCTTTAGAACCTGCCTTATGTCCCACCTTCATCTCATACGCCACTTGCGGTTACTGGCTGATAACCTCTTGGGGTGCCATCCAGGAAATAGGGTTTTACACAATATGCTCAAATTTTTCACTATTATGCTAATGCTCGATGCTCAAAAAATCTATTATGCATGCCTCATTATGCTCACATAAAAAAGCTAAAAAAGCTAATATTGAAGCATGAGCGACGCCTCAATGTAATCCTCCATTGCACTGGCTTGGTTATTACGAAATGAGTTTTCTAGTAATGAAAAAACTCGCTCTGATGCAGCAGAACAGGGTTGAATTGCCCGTTCCGAAGTTCAAAAAGGGACTGGGCACTAGTTTAGCTATTGTTCAAATTACGTCATATTAAAAATTAATCCCATCACCAGAAAGATCGCATGAAAATAAGTAAGTTCAACCAAGTTTGGTTATGTTACATTACATAGTAACCAGGCTGTGAGCTGTCAAAGGTCGCCCAAATTCCATACAAACGTCTCTAATTCAGAGATGGCGTCCCCCAAATCCATACAAAGTCTCTAATTTTTCTGATTTTTGAAAGCCTTCTACATGGTTGCAATCTAACGAAACAACCTCAAACTTGGTAAACTGACTAATTTTAATGTGATCTTTCTTGTGACGGGCTCCAATTTTAATTAAATTTAAATTTAAAAAACTCGCCCCAGTCTCCAGTTGAACTTCGGAACGGGCAATTAGCAAAACCTTCCTGCATGCTGCAGCCCAATTTGGAAGCTCTCTTTCATATTGAGACCACCAGGTAGCACTTGACATTTATGTCAGGGCATACACCTTAATTCTGCCCAGGGCCCAGACCCAACCGTCAGCCAGTTTTCGTCACTATTATTCCGGCATAATGCTCGATTCTTTTGTCTCACTATTATGCTCAAAATAATGCCGGCATAAATGTGTAAAACCCTACCGGGAAATCGTTCCGTCGTACGCGCGTTATTTTCATTTCGATGAAACCACGGTAAACTATATACCTCTGAAAAGGTAATAACGTGCGAGCCTTCAAACTCAAAAACAGTCAATGTTTTGCTTTGCTCTATTACCCGACTTCGCGTTAGCGCGTACAACCAAACAAACTGCACTATATCAATCAGCACTTGATGGCTACGAAAGTGTGTCGGGCTTTATCGATCTTCCTATGATATGAGTTTTTCGTTTACTTTCGTTCTTGTTTTTTTATACGCATGTGACATGTACACGCACCTTCTGTATCCATAAACTTTAAGACAATCCGTCTGCATGTGTTGTACCATATTATCGTTCTAGGCAGCTGTAATGATAAACGCTGTTTTTAGACCCCACGCAATGTTCTATTGGATTTAATTAGTAAACCCTCCTCGCTCCCATTCACTGGGATGCAAAAGCAAATTGACCGTGAAACGTCTGAATAGTATGTAGACCTATGTTAAGCAGAAACTGGGTTAATTTCCCTCGGTGATACATGCAGTGACATCTCTCATCTTATCATATCCACTGATATATATGGCTTCTTTTAGGACTTGTGCTATTCCAGTCAAAATTATATTACGTTCTATCATCTGTACTTTCGCTCTATGGGAGTAACAAGACCTCCAATTCTCTTCAAGAGCACCGTCTTAGCACGCTTCGGAGTATCCCTCGGTCAAAGATGGGAGACCATCAATTCCTAAGGCTAACTTTTTGTGCTCCATACAAAAGGTCTTTGAGATATATAAGCGTAACACTCTTACATACATTCAGTGTACATTTTCTCCTCCTGTTTTGATATCCGCCAAGTTTCTCGTTCACGGAGTCGGTACCAAAGTTCTGGTGTTCTTGTGAGTGTAATGTTGTAGTTATTCTTCGGTGGCATTCTCAATAGATGGCCGATATTACATACATGTCCATCACACATACACGTGCCACATCCAGAACTCCCTTTAGATCATGCATGGAGCATTTGAAGCGACGGACTGGATCAAGCCGCTCAGTACACTAGTTCTTCGCTTCTTGTCTTGCATGATATATGCCTATCCTAATTCTATTTCTAATAAATCTTCTCATAAGCGAATTTCAACCAATGCATTTGATTGCATTAGGCTACTATATTCAGAAGATATTTCTTCTACTGCGGGCATGTTGTTACTGATAATATTTCATTCGCAAAATATATGCCAAAAACTGGGAATTCGAGTTTCGAATTTGAAAAAAAGTAGAAGAAAGATTTACTGTTACAGTCGAAACAATTTGTTTAAATTCAGTAATATGTCTTTCTGTTTGGCTAAATAGGGTTTTCAGTCAGTAATATAAGCGAACAAATAAAACATAAATGCCAACATTAAACAAGACGTAAATTACATGGTCGTTTAGCTGAGACAAAACCAATCGAAATAATTACAATTTTAGAATATTCGATGAATTCGTGAATTTATCGAGTGCATGACTGAGCTGGTTTTTAAGTACAAATGCACTGCCATACAGTATATTATGTCGCCTGCATTAACGTCTTATAATTGATTGTTTTTGAACACATAATCGAATTAATCTGAGTGGAATGCATGTAGACCGGCTCGAGAGAGCGGCGGAAATCAAGCCTATACCAGCTCCAGTTGCGGACACTTTTTCTGCTTCCCGAGGGTGTCCGCTTACCGTGGAACTTCGAATTTACTCAGAAAAAAATTCTGGCTCCCCAACGGGAGTCGAGCCCATGATCTTCCAGGCAACATTTGGATGCACTAACAACTGAGCTATGGGAGCTGTTTTGGCTGTTTTGGGGTGTATATTAACACTATTGAATTTAATGGATGCATGTATATAACTATTCATGCAGTCAGTCTGTCAGTGACACAAACAATCGATCTTAATAGCCGCCATGATGGCCGTTCGTTACATATTTTAATGTCAATTTAAAATTTTACATACATACATACATACTTTATCACCACGTCCCCAAATGGGATTTTCAGAGGTAATTACATACATTTTATACATTTAAAACTAATCTATGTTTACACTCACAAACAAACAAAAACTAGTTAAGAAAATCCCTTAAAAGCGTCGACTTCAAAGTGTGCTTAAAATTAGCAATAGATTCACAAAGCTTAATTTCTTTTGATAAAGATTTCCATAGGGTAACTGTTTGGTTGTTTTGTTATATTCATTTACAATTTTATTTTAATTTAAAAATTCAACCATATACAATTTGTTTTCTTAAATATTCACAGCAACTACAGTACACTAAAGATACACGAGAACACATTTTACAATTTTGTTGTTCAAATTTTAGGGATGTTGTTGTGCAGGAAAATGTGTAGTGAATTTTTTTAGTTTTTTCGTACATTTTTCTGTTAAATTACCGAATCAAAGTAACCGACTATATGGTAATGATATTTATATATACATAAATGTATAAAACTAACTCGAATACCATAAGCGCGCAGAGATATAATTGTTGCACAAAGGATTTTTATACACGAACATTGCGCAGTTCAACAACCTCAGTGCGATTATGTCACAGCCTCTTAAAATGTAAGCTGGTGACTTCGGTAGTTCGGTTTGTAGTAGCCGAGTTCGTGAACGTCTTCAGTACAATAAAACTAGTACGTGCTGCCTCCGCAAGCAGGGGTTTGCCATCAGTACGTTCTTTTCACCTTGATTAATTACCCCGAGACAGGGGCTAGACTGCAAAGAGCTGTTTTACATAACGAACTCGAAAATAACGAACTGGCAGCTCACGAACACAGCTCATAACGAACACAGCTCATAACGAACTTAGTTCATAACGAACTCAACTCATAACGAACTCAACTCATAACGAACTAGGAAATCAGTTACGAACTCGGATCGTAACCGCGAGAAACTCGGACTGATAACGAAAAAATCATGTGATCTTGATGGTATACATATCAAACTCTGACACGAAAGACCGTGAATAAAAAGGCTCGTCTTGCACGGCAACTAAAAAAGAAATTACCTACCTTTCCAAAAACAACGAAAATAAATTAAAATTGACCGGCAAAACTTCCGCCAAGCGGCAAGTCCTTTAATTAAAGTGATTTACTGATTCTCCGATCAGATCACCTCTGAACGCCTGGGGGATAAAATAGTCCGCCATTTCTTTTGTTTGTCGATAGAATAATTTCATAGTGATGCCGCTAGAGGAAATTTGTGCCAAAGGATTGCTCCGTGAAATAAATGAAAACGGTATATCACTGATTGTTTACCACATGCAGTTTGTATAGTGAACAGTTACAAATTAAAAGGGAACGTAACATATCTACTGAAACGGTAGGTTCGATTTTGGAGTATACAACCCAGTGGCTGACTGATGAGACTAAGGTGAGTCGATAATTTTTTGTGTAGTGCAAAATGTGCCTTAAATGAAGTCGTTTTTCTCTCATTCTGCCATTTACGTTATTTTCTTGCTTCAATCCGATATACACTGTATGTACGACTCTATAGCTCAATGATCACACATCTTTAAAGGCTTAATTATCGCTCATAGATTATATCGCTGTGAAAACTGTTTTTACATATATGGGTCTGTAGTCCACGCAGCTAAATATACTGGTATATATTATATTTATTGAGCATTTCACTCCGAAGTGTGTGTTTGCGTGAAACGATATATTACTGAGCTCATTCGTATTTGTCTAAACCTGCGGCCTAGAAGTGTAGATAAAAGTTTGATTTTACGTAACGTGAAAATGTACTCTCTCAGCGAAGAGGTTTCCTGATTTTTTAATTTTAATTTTGTTTTTATTATACGACCTTATACGTGCCGCTAAACTGAAATTACCTCAACGAAAACGAACCAATTTCTCAGCAAGATCGATCGAAGTGCGGAAATCGGACAAGATTAAAGGGACATCAAACATACGACAATTAAACTTTTATCGGCGAATGTTTGTTATTTTTCTTGCCTAAGTATATAAGTATATGGCTTTAGTTATTTTAATATTTGATGCTGATGTCATCAAGGAAATAGTAATTTGTTAACAAATAAGCAACGTCGCTTTCCCCCATAAAAATCCATTATTTGCAAATCTCCGCACATCGTGTTTATAGCGACAAATGTTAGAAAATATTCACTGCTTTTAAATTCAATACACTCTTTTCTTTTTATAAGAACGTCTAATTTTCGAGCTGAGGCTGAACCAAGACCGAATGTTCTTATTTTTTGGCGATTTCGGCCTGAAAACGTTCTTAATTATGTTCTTAAACAGAGAAAATGTATATACAGTTTATGTGATAGAAATTCATGTTGTTACTATAAAAAAATGTGCATTCAAGTATTTTGAGCTCATTTGAACTGCGTATTCACTGAGATATTTGAAATGTTACATTTTGTTAATGTTTTGACAGGATACTGGAATATTGTATTTAGAACTCGATGCAAGAAACAAGTGAATAAAAATGTTCTTAGCTAAGTCTCAACCTGGCTATGTTCTTAGCATGTTCTTAAAATATTGGTCAATCTCAGCCTCAACGTTCTTATAAAAAGGTTCTTATTAAAAAAAAGTGTGTATGCGAATACACATGTACAACAAGGGCACACAAGAGCAAAACAAAAATAGAAAAAATAAATTTAAGACGCTATACAGACTGTATTACACTGTGTAAGCAAGCCTGCGAGAGCGGTCGGTTTTTTCGGCGAAACAAGGGCCAAAAAACCGGCTGTTCTCGCAGGATAGTATATCGATTAAGGAGATTAAAAGGTACATTTGCCCTCGGCCGAATTTGAACGTCTAGTAATCCTTTTAGCATAACATATACAGGCTTGTTTGAAGCGGCAGGACTGAAATTTTAGGGAGCAATATTTTTAAAAGCTTCCGAAACTTCTCGGCTGCAGCTTTTCTTTTTAGCAAAGTGAGAAAAAAAGTAAATTTTATTTTCGTTTATTAACGGGAAAACCTACAACGTTGGACAGGCGTGCATTTCACGATCAGCAAACTAAGCTTTCACACAATCATAAGATTATGAGTGGTTCCGCTTTTCCTTAGATCATTGAACGGCAAATATAAAACGAAATAAAACGAGAGGAGGGAAATGGCAGCGCTAAATCTAACCTGTTAGGGTCATGAATGGTCCATCAAAATTTTCAAGTGCTGCTTCTGCTCACGAATTGCTCGCAACATTTTTAGTGGGTGCTCGTTTGCTCGTGCTCGCATATTTTTACAAGGGCTCGCTGCAAAGTGCTCGTTGTTCGCAAGGCTAACATTTATCAATGCTCTCAAAGAAAAACGCTATACTCGCAAATGCAATGCTCGCAAAGACCATTCTAGTAGATCTATTGTTATGGGTTTACGTGATTTCTCGTATTTCAGCCACTTGAGACTGTATGAGTGCCGCAATTATTAATTTTAGTATTGGGCTTGATAATCTTGTGGTGGATAATTGCACAGTCATGCACACGGTCAGTCAATTTATCTCGGCCGTACTGCGACTCGTTGACGGTGAGTTATATGTGTTAAATAGTACAACAATTATCCTGCTCAATCTTGGAGATTATCGTCTCAGACTGGAGCTGATTTTAGCCAAAAGGATAGTTTGTTTATTTAATTGTATGCTCTAACATTTCGTGAAGCCTAATTTATTTTCGAAACTAGCACAATTAAAAATTTATCGGATAAAAAAATATCAGATGTGGAACTGAGTTATGCTAAGTTTGAAAGGAATAAGCTCGCGCGATCGTTTGAGATTTAACTTTATTTATTTCGCTTGTTACTAGTTTTAAACAGACACTAATTGTTACTAAGGCCATCCCCATAAAATGTTTTGTTTCCCATCCCCCTCTCTCTCGTCGGTCGGTCTCTAGTCGGTCGGTCGGTTAAAAAAATATATAAGAAAAGCCGAGAAATTAACAAATTAATACATAAATAATTCCAAGCGAGCCTTGATTATATCTTTCCCGTGACCACCATTTTGCAACGAGCCGATATCACTCTGAAAGGTGTTCGAAGACGTCATTATTGGGCTGATTTAGATCCGGTCAGAGTTACTTTTAAGATGTAAACTTTGAAACACCCGAGAAAAGGGCGCAGGCAGTGAATCAGAAACTTTTTTATTTACTCTTTGAAAAAAATTGGGTCGGTCGGGCGATGGGAGACAATGGGAAACAAAACAGTTTATGGGGATGGCCTAAGCTCAGTTATATTATGCACTTCAGCTCCGGGCTCGTGCAATTTTGAATATATGTGATTTTTTTTTCTTATCAGTCACGTCGATCACTCATCGACAAATCTAATCCTAGCAGGCTAGGCACTTTGGCCAAAGATAATTTGTACAGTTTTGCACCCAAAACGTTTTTAACATCTTTCCCTAGTTCTCCAAATGGCATTTTTAGCAAAGGTTAGCCAAATTTCGGGTGACAGCACCAAGAAAACGGGTTCCGTGACCCATAAATGCGTTTTTCAGTGCGAATTCTGGTACCATAAGGGTTAGAGAACTTGGAATTTTTTTTCCGAGTTGCTTGCGTCACTGACTGATCAACAACATCCTTATGTTTCATATGTTTCACGCCCATGTACTCGTGGGTTATTCACCGGTTATCCAGTAAATAATAAGCTTATCGGTTGAGGCGGAAAAAGGTTGAACAGGAGTGTTTCACGCCCGAGTATAAGCCGGCTTACCGGTTGAAGTTTTATATCTTTCACGCACGTGTACCCTCGTCAACGGAGGTCATCCTTCAAAAGTAAGTGGATCTGTAAGAGCTAACAACTAAGGCCTTATTAGTTCATCAGACAGGATTCATACAC